TTATCCACTAAGCTATTTCTCCGGCCCCCATGTGTGTGTGTGTGTGTGTGTGTGTGTGTGTGTGTGTATTCAATTTATTTACTTTATTTTATGTGTATGAATGTACACGACATACATGCCCAGTGTCATGGAGATCATAAGAGGGCATTAAAATCTCCTGGAACTAAAGTTACAGATGATCATGTAGGTACTGGGAGATGAACCCAGGTCCTCTGGAAGAGCAGCCTGCTCTTAACCACTGAGCCATGTCTCCAGCCTACCACACCCCATTTGTATTGTCCCACCAAATTGTATTGGCACACCAAACTGGCTTCCATCTCACTATGTATCAGACACTGGCCATAAACTCATGGCAATCCTTCTACCCAGACCTTATGGTGATGGCCCATGTCTGTCATGAGCCATCACAGTAAGCCAAACTTGGTGGTGGTGGTGTTTGCTGTCATTGTTGTGTGTATTGTCTGTTTTCCAGACAGGGTCTCACTATTAGTTCTGACTGGCCTGGAACTCATAGACCAGGTTGGCCTCAGATTCACAGAAATCTACTTGCCCATGTTTCCCAAATGCTGGGATGAAAGGCATGTACCACTATGCCTGGCTATTGTTTATGAGAGAGGGTCTCTCCATGTAGCCCCAGGATGGCCTCAAACTCATGGCAATTCTCCTATCTTAGCTCCCTACATTCTGGGGTTACAAGTGTCACACCCACAAAACTCGATTTTTGTGGCTTCTATTCTGATTTTCTGTGGTGCTGGATGTCATACTTATGGCTTCAGGCACACAAGCAGGGCATACAAGTGCTCTGCCTCTGGCTCTGTCTTTCCAGCCACCTCCACTCCCAGGCCTTCAGGTCCCCACGCACTTTGTTTGTCTCTCCTGCTCTGCTCCTGCTCCACGCTTCCGAAGGTCACACTGAGGACCTCTCCAGTGGAGCTCTAGAGTAAGGCCAAGAAAGTGTGGGGCCAAGAGCTGAAGTGAAGGCTTGGTGAATAAGAGTGTTTGCTGCTCTTCCAAGGGACCCACGTTCTGTTCCCAGCACCTACCTCAGGCAGCTCATAACTGCATGTAACTCCAGCTCCAGGGGATCTGACACGCTCCTCTGGACTCCACGGGTACCTGTGCTCATGTGCTTATAATATACCCATGCATGTTCACACACATAATTTAAAAGATAAATAAATCTTTTTTTAAAAAAGAAGCAGCTGTAGAGAGCCTCCTCTGCGCCATCCCCAGAGGAAGCAGAAGGGCCAGGGAGCTGACCCTGACCATAGCCCTGGCCCCTCTTGTGCAGGGATCCTGTGGAATCTGTCCTCCAGTGACCACCTGAAAGATCGTCTAGCCAGAGACACCCTGGAGCAGCTCACAGACCTGGTGCTAAGTCCCCTGTCCGGGGCGGGGGGTCCCCCCCTCATCCAGCAGAATGCCTCTGAGGCAGAGATCTTCTACAATGCCACTGGCTTCCTCAGGTGTGCTAAGTGGAGGCGCTGGGCCAGGAGATGCTGAGGGGAACGAGCCATGTGCCAGACAAGGACCGGGGAAGCTTCTAGAAGAAGTATGTTCATTTGCCACCTAAATGGCAAGGACAGTTAGCCAAGTCTGCAGGGAGAAGTAGACAGCAGGGAAAAGTTTAGGGGCTGAGGCAAGAATGGGATAGGCCAGGTGTGGCTACCAGGTATAGATGTCAGGACACTCTGGAGCTTTATGATTCATTAAATCAAGTCCCTTGTCCTGATACTCATCTTCCGAAACTTTGAGGAGTTGATTTGGAGGTGGGTAACGTGAAGGGCAGAGGCAGAAGTGTGTGGTAGGGTCTAGGAACAGGAAGGCACAGGGGCCAGTCCCAGCTCAGGATGCAAAGATCAGTGCCTGATGATTTCATCGCCAGGACAGGGACTTCAAGTTAAGGGTCCCTGAGGTGGCACTTCTAGGGTCCCTGGGGGGAACTGTGTTGGTATCCCTGTGGGAGCTCTGATCTGCCTCCATCCCCAGGAACCTCAGCTCAGCCTCCCAGGCCACTCGCCAGAAGATGCGTGAGTGCCATGGGCTAGTGGATGCTCTGGTCACCTACATCAACCATGCCCTGGACGTGGGCAAGTGTGAGGACAAGGTGAGGGGCAGCTGGTGAGCCAAGGGGGCCCAGGGGCTTCGGCCCACTCTGACCACCCTCTGTTCCCTGCAGAGTGTGGAAAATGCTGTATGTGTGCTGAGGAACTTGTCCTACCGCCTCTACGATGAGATGCCGCCGTCAGCACTACAGCGGCTTGAAGGCCGGGGCCGCAGGGATGTGACTGGCGCACCCCCTGGTGAAGTGGTGGGCTGCTTTACACCACAGAGTAGGCGGCTGCGTGAGGTGAGCACGGACCTGGGAGGCCAGGAGCAGGGAGTGCCAAGCCTGACGCCCTGGCCTCAGTTGTAGCCTTGGCCCTGGTTGACTCCTGTACCCTCCCTCTCAGCTTCCTCTTACAGCTGACGCACTCACCTTTGCGGAAGTGTCTAAGGATCCCAAGGGCCTTGAGTGGCTGTGGAGCCCCCAGATCGTGGGGCTGTACAACCGACTGCTGCAGCGCTGTGAACTAAACCGGCATACCACAGAGGCGGCTGCAGGGGCACTACAGAATATCACCGCCGGTGACCGCAGGGTCAGTGGGCTGACAAGGCCCACTTTTGGTCTTGTGCTGGGCACTGGGACACATGGATGGGAGCCACACCCTAGGAGTTCACGGTCTACTGGGGGAAGGAACCCCAAGAGTAAGATGTGGAATGAGACCCGTGCTCAGTCTGAGGAATGGGGCCCTATGTGGATTTGGGTTTTGATATTCTGAGCAGAAGGGTTACCTGGTCATGTCCTGAGTTGGTAGAATAGGCAGAGGTAGCAGGCAAGAAGTAAAGTGGTTCTGCCTCAATTTTTTTTTTTTTTAGATTTATTTATTTATTATGTATACAGCATATATGACTGCAGGCCAGAAGAGGGCACCAGATCTCATTACAGATGGTTGTGAGCCACCATGTGGCTGCAGGGAATTGAACTCAGGACCTCTGGAGGAACAGTCAGTGCTCTTATCCTCTGAGCCATCTCTCCAGCCCCTGCCTCAATCTTGAACAGGGCTGGCTAGGGATGGCTGGGGTGCTGCTGGGCTTTACCACATTCCCTACCTTTCCCTGCAGTGGGCGGGTGTGCTGAGCCGCCTGGCCCTGGAACAGGAGCGCATCCTGAACCCCTTGCTGGACCGAGTTCGTACCGCTGACCACAACCAACTGCGCTCACTGACTGGCCTCATCCGAAACCTGTCTCGGAATGCCAGGAACAAGGATGAGATGTGTGAGTTGTTCTGTCCCTGGTCCGGCACACAGCCCATGTCTCCCAAGGAGCTGGCTCCCGGCTAGCAAGTCAGATAGAGTGGGCAGGTGTGTGTGCCAGCCCCCAGGGGAGGCGGGGGTTCTGGGTGCCAAGGCAGCAGGGAATATGTCAGACTGACCCTAACCTCTTATCAGCCACAAAGGTAGTGAGCCACCTGATTGAGAAACTCCCTGGCAGTGTGGGTGAGAAGTGTCCCCCAGCTGAGGTGCTGGTCAACATCATAGCTGTGCTCAACAACCTGGTGGTAGCCAGCCCGATTGCTGCCCGGGACCTGCTCTACTTTGATGGGCTTCGAAAGCTGGTCTTCATCAAAAAAAAGAGGGATAGGTGAGGAACAACCCAACCCACAGCAACATGGCCAAGGGACGCCCTACCATCCTACCTCCTAACCTTGACCCTGACCTCTTGAATGCCCCCAGCCCTGACAGTGAGAAGTCCTCCCGAGCAGCCTCCAGTCTCTTGGCCAACCTCTGGCAGTACAGCAAGCTCCACCGTGACTTCAGGGCGGTATGTTCTACAGAGCCTGGGAACAGGGACTTGGGGCGTGGAGTCCAGTGTAGGGTGCAGATCACCAGGGGAGGGACACAAAGCCTGGAATACAGAGACAAGAGGCCCAGGCTAGGCCCAGAACATTATGGGGAAGGCAGGATTTCAGGGACAGCAAAGGCAGTCCTGAACTCTCTGTCCCCTCTCCCCTGCAGAAGGGCTATCGGAAGGAGGACTTCCTGGGCCCGTAGGTGAAGCCTCCTGGAGGTGAAGTGATTCAGCTTCCAAGAGATAGGCTCAGCTCCTACTGTTCCACCACCCATGGAAGGGGAGCTGATGGCCACCAGACCTCCCTGTCTCTGGAGTCCTGTGTGTACCCTTGAGGGACCAGGGCCACCAGGAAAGAATGGGGGCTTGCAGCTAGGGATTGATTGGCTTCTGCAGGGCAGGGGAAGGGGGCAGGGCTTGAGCTACTCTGGTGCTCGGGGTGGTGATTTAGTCGCAATGGCAGGGGTGGGACTGCCTGTGGCCTGACAGCCTTGTGACAGCTGGGAATAAAAGTGGTTTCGAACAGAACCCCAGCTTTGTGTCTCCATAGCTGGCCACAGACCCTCAAGTGTGCCTTGTCCCCAAAACATGCCTACTTGTCCCAGAAGACGCAACTCCAGGCTCACACACAGGCCTCCCAAGGCAGAGGACACAGGACAGGGAAGGAGTCAACAGTAGGGATAGCCAGCCTAACTGTTATCCAAGGCATAGACACAGCAGAGCAGAGGACGTCATGAGCAGTATCCATACCATAAACACATCCAACACCCTCTATCCACCCTGAGCTGATGCTAGGAGGTACCCAAGGCTTGAAGTCCAGGAGTATCAGGAACAAGGCTACCCATTTTTCCTTGTAAAATTACCAACAGTAGCTTCCTACTGAAGGACCTGTCCCGATGAGATGGGGCTGGGGACAGTCACATTCCCAATCAAGAACCAAGAAGGGATACTAGGGGCTATCAGAACAAGGGATTTGCCAGGGGTGGCCGAGAAGGCAGATTTGGGTTTGAGTGGGAACCTGGTGCAGGTGGTGATGAAAGGAAGGGTCAGGGCGTCATGGTGGAAGCGAAAAGAGACACAGCAGGTACCACCCAGAAGAGAAACGGGCCCAGGCAGGAGCAAAGACAAGTTTATTTGTGACACCCTGGAGCCACGCTCCTTCCCCGCGAGGTTCAGAGCTACAGGCAAGGGTTGTGGTCCTAGGGAGAAGAGGTGCCTGCCTCTACCCTGGAAGCTGCCACCTATGATCTGGGCTGCCAGGATAAGGGCTACACATCATCCTCAGACACAAGGCAGTAGAAGTCTGTTCGTGCACTGTAGTTCCGAGAGCCAAGGTCCGAGACATCCACTTCACTGCTGTGGCCCTCTCCCATGGAGACCCTGCTTGCATGCAGTGGAGTTGGTGGCTCCCCAAAGACAGGTCCTCGGACACCTGCAGGACACCACAAGGCCTGAGGCCGTATGTCTATAGCCAGTCTTCTACTGGGATCTGTGACAAGAAGGGACTACTCCATGCTCACCCACCAACCACAACGATACTAGAAACCCTGGAAGTTCCCCCCACAGAGGCCAAGGGGCGAAACACCTCCCCAGTAAGAGGCAGTTGGGGCACTGCCAGTGGAGGTCAAACTTCTACAGGAGGCAAGATCTCTCCATCCCAGACTAGGACACTGGATGGAGCTGTGTCTGAACCCTTGATCTGCAGTGAGGCCAGGTGAGCATACCCAGGTCTCCCTCGGGGTCTGGATCCAGCTCTGACTCCATGCCCCGGCCCTGGGCAGTTCGTCCTCTCACGATTAGCATGGGATCTTTGTCATCCTGTAGTCGGGTCTGGGGGTCTCCCTCCACCGGCCTGTATTGCACCTTCCGGGGCAGTGCCAGCTGTAGCTCTTTCCAAAAATCGGAGGAAGGCGTCTGGGGGCCAGATTTGGACCGTCAGTTTAAACACCTGGGGATCTGTGAACTGGAAGCCTCTAGCCACCCAGATCCAAAGTGCACACTGATGGTGCCTGACTTGCAGGTCCCCTAGCCCTCCAGCACCTCAAGCACCCACTCACAAACCCCCAGCCCTCGCACCACGGAGCCAGGCTTCCAAAGCAGCAGGGTCACAAGGTGGCGGTGCTGGCGCAGGAGCCGGAGAGCAGGGTGCATGGGCTCACGCCTCTGGCCCTCGAAGGTGATGAAGATAGGTCTGCGAGTGAGCTCCAGTAGGCGGCACAGTCCCTCCCTGCGGGGACCGGACCGTCAGGCGGGGCAGGACCAGAACTCCCGGTCCCCCACCCCAAGCCAAGCGCCCGACGCACCGGAAGCTCTGGCTACACCAGGCCCGGCCCAGGAAGGCGTCTGAAAGAACCACGATGAGGCGCCGACAGCGGCTCAGGTTCACCAGGAGGTCGGCAGAGGGCTCTGTGGGCAAGGGCGTGGGCCGGCGCATGAGAGGCGGGGCCGGTGACAAGGGTGGGACTCAGGGAACAGGGTGGGGATCAGGAGGCCGGGCCAGGGCGGTACCAGCGCGCGGCAAGAGATCGCGGTCCTCCAGGAAGAGCTTGTATCCCCGACGCCGCTCCAGCTGAGGCTTCAGAATAAAATTCACAAATTTGCGGTCCTCCGGGCAGTCGCTATAGGACACGTAGGCATCGTATAACTTTCCATCTGCAGAGGAGGTCATTCAGCAAGGCCAGTTATAGAGATACTCCTACCCAATATCCAGCACTTCTCTGAACAAGTGAACCAGACCCCAGGACTCTAACCTTCTGTCGACCCTAGTCTTGTGCCCTTCTGAGACACCGCCTTTCCAGACTGTACACCCAGAGCCCCCTTAGAGCTACAACTCCCTCCTCCCAGGCCTGAACCCAGCATGCAGCTGGCACCTCAGTAAGGCCCTTGGCAGAATACTGTGCCCTCATCCATGCGGGACCCTACGCACCGTTCATCTCCACCTCCCCATAGGCATCTTGGTACCAAAGCAGCACATTCAGACGACACTTAACATAGAGCAGGGCCACCAGCAGCAGAACCAGCAGGACAAGGAGGGAGGCCAGCACTGCAACCACATGGCCAGCAGGGCCTGCAGACAGGGAGAATCACTATTGCTTCAACCTTGGGACTTCAGGAAACCCTTGCCCTCCACCACCTTGAACTCCCTCACCAGCTCTCCAGAGACTGAAGGAGTGGGAGCTGACATTCCAGACAGAGCAGGTGAAACTTCCATAGTCCTCAGCATTGGTCAAGTTGAGCACCAGAACACTGGACACAACCTCTGAGAAGTTGGTGCCGACCCTGGGAAAACCAGGCCATACCCTCACCTGGGGACCAAGAACATCAGTGGATGCTCAAGTCCCACCTGCCTAGGATGCACCCAGGGAGACTGCAGATTTGGGCTAAGTGATCAGAATTTGGGCCTGGGCCCTGGGGACCCTCTGGTTACAGGCCTAGGTAGTAAACGGCCCATTCAGGAGTTAAGATTCTATCCCCAGACAGTCTACAAGATATACACAGGGGTCGGGAAGAAACTTTGGACCTGTCCCCAGAGTCAACCCTCTGTCTCTGTCCATGGGAACACTGCCACGCCAGGTTTGCACGGGTACTACACAGCCCTTGTCCAGGTTGTTATGGGTTAGGGTGTAGGTCAGAAAGGCTGCTAGCTATGGTGTATCTCGGCAGTTACTCTAATCCTGGACACCCCAGTCTCTTACCAAAAGTCCTGATGGAGGTTGAAGTGGCTTCCATTGCCCAATGGAAGACCATCTTTTAGCCACTGTACTGAGGGCTGGGGACACTGGGGTGTAGAGACCACCCAAGCTGTGCAATTCAAAGCAACTGTACTGCCAAGGGCAGGTCCCAAGGCCTGGTTTTCAGATGGTGAGAGGAAATTAGGGGCCCTGTCACAGACATCTGCAGAAAGAAAACAACAGGTCAGCCATGCTGGGATGCCTTCTCCCACTCTGTTTATAGATGCTCTGTGATCAAGGAAAACAAGACAATAAGGGAGTGGTGTCGGCGATCACACTACATCCATCCATGGGTCCTGTAGGCCAGAGTCCAGGCTCTCATTCTCCCCTCAGTAGTGGCCAGTTGTGTTCTTCTGGCCCTCATGTGACAGCCTGGTGCTCAGGGGGAACATTAACAGGCAGAGGAGTGGCCAGAGTCATGTTTGAGCTGAGCCAGCCCAGGCACAGGAGCCTGTCGGTTGGTTTATCCCTGCTGGATGAGTCTAGCCTCCACATGACCCCCTCAGAGCAGGATCAGTTCCTGCCCCCCTCAGCCTGGCTGGCTTCTACTGAAGAGCTGGGCTGCAGGGACTGTGGGCACCAAATGTGGAAAGAATACAAATACTAGCATCTTTCACAGGGACAGGGCAAGCCGGAGCCTGGGCTTCCAGGATCCCCTCCACTAACCACAAGACCTGCCCTCCCACTTCTCTGAGGTCTAAAGGTCATCATCGTCAAGTGAGGATGATGACCCTAGCAGGAGGCTGGAGAGGTATACGACGTCACCTCACTTAACACCCACGCCCCAAGATCCCCCCGTTGAGATTCTTGGGCTTACTGATTCTTTTTTCAGGTGAGGGTGGGGGTTCGAGACAAGGTTTCTCTGGGTAACAGCCCTGGCTCTCCTGGAACTCGGCTTTGGCTCTGCCTCCGAGTTTGTCTCTGCTGGGATTAAAGGCCTGCACCACCATGCCCGGCAGGCTTACTGATGCTTGTGTGCCTCCCCTGTAGGCCTTGGGCAGGAGAGAAGCAGAAGCTCTCATCATCCCTGCCTGCCCTGAGCTCAGAACCAACTGTTAGAGAGAAGAGATGAGCACAGGCCTTGACCTCTGGCATGTATCCAAGCACAGGGCTCAGCAGAGAGTGCAATGTGACACCAAAAACTGGGGTGGAGACTTGGTCATGGCCCTCTCTGATCTACCTACCTGCCATGGCTCTTCCAGGGCCTCTGCAGGCCGAACACTGGTTCCACCCCTGGCTCCACTGGGGCTCTTTAACCGAGCAGATGGGTCCACTGAAGACTGAGAAGGACTCCTTTCTTTCTGTCTATTCAGCCAGCTGGACAGGGTCCCTGGAGGTCAGAGGCTGTCACTGTCCCCAGGGGACAAGTTAAACAGGAACACGGTGAGTTAACCAGTAACTGTCAGCCAGCAGCAGTACTTACTGGCTGCACAACAGATAGCTTCCTTGCAATTTCAGCCAGTCTCAGAGTGCTGTGTGAGCTCCTACATATCACAAGGCCAGAGCAGACTCTGCCTCACACAGCTTGGGAGGGGCGGTCCCATGGACCACTTTCATTTGTCCTGGAGCCACTGTGGTGACTCAGGGATACCACAGGCATGCTCCAAGAAGGATGTGACCTCAGAAGATAGCAGTTGGCCTCATTCCTGGCTGTCCCCTGTAATGGACTGCTGCTGTATGCAGGTGGGTGCATGGGTGCTTGTCACCTGGCCAGGACCTGGGGATTAAGGGGATATGAGCCATAAGTGAAACCTAACTGTGAGATTTTGCTCTGGATGCAGTCACGCATACACATGGGAATGGACACATCACACCTGCAGACACCTTGAGGCTCATCTGGGCCAGGAAAGGTAAATGGGGACCAGGCTACTATAGAGATCACTCTGAAGGGCCTTGGGAAGCCCTTCTGGGTACCCCCCAAACAGATGACTCTTATCTAGGGTCCTGGGTCATTCTTAGCCCATAACAATTATACACATCTGGGATTCAAAAAGCTCCGTAATGGCATGACTGCAGGAAACATTCAGGATGCTCTTCCTTAGCAGCCCAGGGCCCTAGCTGACCCCTCTTTCCTGGGTGCCCCAAGTTCACTCTCTTTATACATTTAATTGAGTTCCTACTCTCCTCCATTCTGCACAGACACATGGGCAGCAGGAACATGGGGTCAAGCCCTGGGCCTGGCCTGCCTCAGATGCCCCAGATGCCCCAGAGGCTTTGATGAGAATTAGTCTCTTATACTCTCTCCCTTTGTTCTGCACTGGGTGATGCTGGGCCAGAAATCTCAGACTTGGCACGACATCAATCTCCTTGGGAGCTAGTTCAGGAAGAGGCACATTACTGTCAAGGGTGGCAAGGTGAGCCTTCCAGAAACCCTTTGGGGTGAAGGGCAGTCCTACTACAATCCTGGAAGCAGAACCACTTACCAAGGGCCTGTAGAAGACAGGCTTCTCAACTGACCCCTCAGAGTGACCAGAAGTGGATACCCCAGCCCAGCAGGTCCCAGAGCATGTCCTGCAATAGCCCTCAACCTCCTCAAGCTCAGAAGACCTTGACCCCTGCAAAGGTAGCAGCAGACACCGCCAGAAATGAAGACCAACCCTCCAGGATGTGACTCACGGAGGCAGCAGGTGCCCTCTTCCCTTTCCCATTCTATGCATGCACAGCCCCCTCAGGCCCCCAGTCAGCCTCACTGAGTTCACCTTAGCCAATGTGCACACATGAATCTTCCATACAACACTGCCCTCCACACAGGTTTTGGGCTGCACACACCTCACTTCACAGGATCACTCCCAAATACCTCAGGGGCCACAAGCACACCCATACACGCATATGTGCGTGCGTACACACACACACACACACACACACACACACACACACACACACACACACACACACGGTGTGCCTTCATGCACCTCAGCACCATGGGCCTCTCCTCAACCAAGCCTACCTCCAAGGACAGACCACAAGGCCACAGGATCCCTCAGCAGTAGGGAGGCACAGTCACCTCATTTCCGGATCTTTTCCTCCAAAGGGGAGATGGTCATTGAGGTCAGTAACATGCACTTGTGAGCAAATTGTCCCCTCTGCTGGGCCCCGGAGAGGAGCCACAGTGTTGTGGCTACCCACGATGCATCACCAAGCTTGGGCGAGGACCTGGCTTTTGTTGATATATATTTTAGTCAGAACTTTCCCCCTTAGTTTCCTGGCCTTACAGTCACATCCTCTCCTAAACCTAAACCCCACCCAGGTACCCACCCCTTCCCCTGGCGGGGCGGGCTGTTGGCGGTCCTTGCCCCGCCTTGCCTGGCTCTTCCTGTAACTCTAAGAGGCCCCTTCCTCCCAGGACAGCCCCAGTCCCTAAGTACTACATTTGCTCCAGCACTAAAGCGTAGGTGGATACTTCAAGTGGCAGAGGTTGGGGCGATGTGCAGAGATCCTGGCAAGGAGATCTCCAGCCAGAATAGTCCTAAACATACACTATGTAGGAAGCGTGCCTTCTAGATTCCATCCACCACCCCACCTCACCCCTGTTTGGCACAAGGTCTTGCTGTGTAGTCCTGGTTGACCTGGAACAGTCTGTGTAGACCAGGCAGGCCTGGAACTCACAAAGCTCCACCTGCCTCTTTCTATTGAGTGCTGGGATTAAAGGCATGCTCCAAGTCTGGCAACACTCCCATTTTTTTATACTATACTCAGGAGTGGAGAGGAAGAATTATATTATATACCCCACCCCCCAAAAAGCCCCAGGCATGACTCACCTCTGACCTACTGTAATAAAGGGGATCTCTCAGAAACTGGTGACCAATAATGAAACAATAGAGCATATCTCTCTGGTCCTTACCCTGTCCACCTCCTAGGCAATAGACTCCAATGAATGAGCAGTTGTAACAGGCTATGGGATCCCACAGACATGAGCTCAGGGCTGGGGTGAGAGAGCAGAGCCCCCTTTCAAGAGCCAAACACGCCGGGCGGTGGTGGCGCACGCCTTTAATCCCAGCACTCGGGAGGCAGAGCCAGGCGGATCTCTGTGAGTTCGAGGCCAGCCTGGGCTACCAAGTGAGTCCCAGGAAAGGCGCAAAGCTACACAGAGAAACCCTGTCTCGAAAAAACCAAAAAAAAGAAAAAAAAAAATCAAGAGCCAAACACAAGAGCCACAAGCCTCTGGCTCTGAGGTGGGATTGGGTGGGGGGCGGGGAGCACAGCTGGTTTCTCCTATTGTAACCACTGACTCCAGATTGACTTGAGCCTTGGGGCCCAGTGGCATTATTTACAGAATTGGACAAAGGTCTTCTCCAGTTCCTGTCCCTCTCTACCCTCACAGTTGCAGGAGTAGGTCCTGGATACTCTCCTGTGGTCTTCCTGCCCTTGGTTCAGGCCACCCAGGAGTATCCTCAATTCAGGAGCAGGCTTTCCTGCCACCTTACCTGATTATGACCCAGCCTTGTTCAAGCCCCTGTGGCCTGGCATTCATGACCTCTGGGTGATGGTGCCCCTTAGGCTCAGGGCTAGAAAGGCTGAAGGGAACAGTTCCCCTTCCTCTACACTTGTGGAGCTGCTTGCTACCTGAAGCTGCCTCATAGGCCTCCTGAGTATCCCATGCACAGTAACTAGCTGACCTCGCCAGAGGCAGTTCTGTACTTTCCCACATTGTGAGTAAAGAAACTGAAATGCGGGGCTGGAGAGATGGCTCAGCAGTGAAGAGCACTGGATCCTCTTCTAGAGGACCCGGGTTCAATTCCCAGCACCTACATGGTAGCTCACAACTGTCTGTGACTCCAGTTCCAGGGGATCCAGCATCCTCACATAGACATATATATATACACAGGCAAACACCAATGCACATAAAATAAAAATAAATTAATTAACTAAAAAAGAAAGAAACTGAAATGCAGCAAAGTTCAAGATCACCCAGGTTGGAAATGAAGAGGTAGGTACCCAGTACTGAGGTCAGTGCTCCCAAACACCTTTGCCCCCTAATAAGTCTGGCATAATGTTTGAGCCCCCTGCTCCTAGTCCCTGTCACCCTCTCAGGGTCTTGAGTCGATACCATTCTCCTTCCATTTGTCTGCTAACATCTACCACCCTCTATCCTACCCTCAAAACCAATGCTTGGGACCCCTTTTGGCGGCAAACGACCCTTTCACAGAGGTCGCCTAAGACCATCAGAAAAGACAGATATTTACATTACGATCCCTAACAGTAGCAAGATTACAGTTATAAAGTAGCAATGAAAATAATTTTATGGTTGGGGGTCACCACAACATGAGGAACTGTATTAACTGGTCACAGCATTAGGGAGGTTGAGAACCGCTGCTCTATCCAGTAGCCCAGCCTCAGGCCAATCTTGCATAAAAGCCCAGATTGCCTCAAACACCTGCCCCTGCAGTCCTTTGGAGGCGCTCCAGGGCCTCGGAATTTAAATCCCAGCCTGGACCCTCGCATCACTCAGCATTGCCTCCACGTTATGAGGTTCCTCGAAAGCCCAGGTCCTTCTCCCGCCAGGCCCAGTCCTTGAGCTCTACTGGCCCCCGGTGCTATCGGAAGAGTTAGTACTCTGGGGCTGCGGACCCAGAAGCCAGAGCCCGCTCCCCTCTTGCGGATCTGTTTCGCTGCTTAGCATCCCGCGGCCGGGGTGCTGCTCCTGCTCAGTTCTTGACTTGTGCAGCTCCTGGTTTTAGCGTGTGCTGGGTCCCCAAATATCTTTTTGTTAAAGAAAGGAGTGTTCATAAAAGGCCTCAAGGAGACCATCATGCTCCTACATCTTGCCCTTCGTTTTCTGCGGGTGGCACATGACCAGTTTCCCCGGACCCAACAGGTGCTGCAAGCAGATCTATCAGGCACGCGTGCAGAAGACGGGGACGCGCACGGACAGCGGAAGCGCGCCGACAGCTAGTCAGGGCGAGGACCGAGTGCTGGTGCTTGCTGAAGGCGGAAGCTCTGCTGGGGTCCCCTCGAGCCGGGGCCCCAGCCAGCCTCTCAATCTGCCCAGTGTGTCCTAAAATTGCTCAGGGTTGAGATAAGCTCGTGGGAGCGAAGCTGGGGTCTTGCGCCCCTGGCCCGCCTCTGTAGACTTGCATTGAAGTCAAGAGGAGGCTATTGACCACGTCGGGCAGAGTGAAAAGAGAAAAGCCAGGGAAGGAAACTGGACGCAGCGCTCTCGAGCTTCCGGGCTGCTCAGGGGAAACCCGCCTGGTTCAGAGCTACTTCCTGCGGGACCATGGCCCCGAGGCTCCTCGGAGCGAAGTACTCCCAGGTTCCCAACCCTAGAACTGGAGCGGCTTCAGGAACCACAACCTCTACTCACCTCCACGCGTCTGACTGTCACCCACCTGCTTTCAGACCTGGGACTCGCGCGGAGGCTGGCAGTTTACCTGGCCTAGGTGCGCAGCAGCGACGGACCCAGCGGCAGGTGCAGCCCCGCCCCGCAGGCAGGGCGAGGGCGGACCCTAGTGTCCCGCTTTATGCCTAAGGCTAATGCTGGAGACTGTCGGGAGTTCAGCCCCCGGATCTTCAGCCTTCCCCGCTTTGGGGCAGTGGCCAAACCAGCCCAGCCAGCCCAGGCCGCAATGGGCCATCCAGCCGACCTTCATGGTGTTCTGCCTCTCTAGCCTGAGCTCTTCCATTTCGTCCAGGAAGTCTGTCTTGATCCACACCCCACCCATAACTGACCCTGTGTCTTCTCTTGCCACCCTAAAAATCCAGATATTAGGAAAGGAGAACCTTCTTTATAAGGTGTGCCTCATAGCCGAGGAGATAAAGTAAACCAGAGAAAAGCCAGGTGGTCTGAGGCTACCACAGTTCAGACTTGCCCAACAGTGGGCATCCTTCCTTTGTATAGCCCAGGGCAGAAATAATTCCTAGAAACTGGATCTACATAATGAGGCTCAGAAATCAATACACACAGGTTTATTTTGTTTGTAAAAAGTTTTATCGGTGGTGGGGATCCAGCTAATTGTGGGGGGTGGGGTGCCAGAAATTAATCTCTGGGCCTTCCACCAAGCAGGAGGCCACAGAACGTGATCTGGGGCCCAGAAGCCAGGAGGTCAGTGGAACTTGGGCTAATTTTACTGCAGTGGATTTTTGTGAGCAGCCTGAAATTCTATGGGTACTAAGGTTACTCAAGAGTTTTAAGTCAGGTCTGTGCCACGTTTGAACCCTAGGAAAGTTGGAGCAAACCCCACAGGCACATCTGTGCTACTCATAAATACCCTAAATATACCAGTGACCCCCTACATATACATACATACATATATATTGGTTTACATATATACATGGGCTTCCTAGGGTGCTCATATATGCCTACATATATTTAAGACCTCCTATGATCTTCAATCACGGACATATATGTAGACCACCCAGGATCCTACATATGCATGGACCATTTTACAGCCTCCCTCAACACACGGATACATGTTGTCATAGACAGGGCCAAGCTGTAGAGATGGGGACTCCTTCCTTCCTAGTCCAGGCTCCTGGAAATCAGCATTTCTCCACCTGCCCCGGATTGTCTATACGTCTGTGCTCCTAGAACTGAAGCTACAGGAAGAATGAAGTTGGTATGAGTCAGAGGCGTGGCCTGCCCCCAGGCACAGACCTGCCCCCAACCAAGTAAGCCACCGCATCCCTACCACATTTTCTCCCGAAGTATCCGGTACTTCTCCTCCAGAACCTTGTTCTTCACCGACTGGGGCACATCGGGCACAAACCATGCAGCGATGAGCTTGATACACAAGGCGACATGCTGGGGGTAAGAGGGGGGAGAAAGGCCCGGCAAAGTCGGCGGCTAAGAAGAACCTTTAGGATTTGGGGGCTGGGAAAGAAAAGTGAGAGAGCTGCCTTCACTTGGGCTCTCACAATTCTACCCACCTCAAAGAGGATGACGAAGGCCAGCCGGATGGCCAGAATGAACCAGAATTGCTCAGAGAAATTGTAGTCACGTTCGTTTCGGTAGTCCCGGTACCTGGGGTAGGGAAGCACCTAAAGTCAGAAACCAGGAGTTTAGAGGGCGTTTACGGGGGAATAAGAGGTTCCAAACCTGCATGTGGTCACATTTTCTTGGCCTTCCATCCGGCCGTGGTCCTGGAAATCCTTGGTGTAGAAGACAGACAAGCTGTGGTTGACATAGCCCTTGAGGCAGCTGGGGAGAGAGAAGTGTGGGACTCTCATGACCTGAGGCCCCTCCTGAGAACTCACGTGCATCTGGGGGGGCAGGAGGGGGAGGGCATGCCTTGGAAGGCCTCCTCCATTTCCCTTCATGAGAAAAGGCCTGCTGTCCAAGCACAAGGCCACGCTTGGGAGGGGTGAAAGAGGCGGAGAGGCCACCAACTGTCTACCCTACCAGGCTGGATGAATGCTCCTAGGGCTGACCCAAAGACCCCCAGTCTGCAGGTGCAGTGGGAGCTAGACATATTTGTTCTCTGCCTTCCCATGCCAGAAGCAAGACAGAGGTGTATAACTTGGTGGGAAAGCCATTTAGGTACTGCCTGCTCATTACCAAGTGGGCCTGGTACTTCTCTCCCCACCAAGGGTTCATTAGTTATTCCTGGGATCCAGCCAAGGTATGTAGGTCATATAGACAGTTCAAGGAAGAGCCAAGTCCCAGTCTCAGTGCAGCCCCAGCTACCATTGGCAGAACCCACATATACCCAGGAGAGCCCCAGGTCTGGACTCCAAGGGCTTAACTGGAAGGGCCAGTCTCTCAGGGGGGCTTGACAGTTTAATGCCTTACTCTTCTGTGAAGTTCCTGTTCTGCCGGCACGGGCCATAGCGGTACTTGTAGACCACTCTGGGAATGAACTCAGAGGTGAAGGCGATGACCATCCCGTTGGCAATGACTGCCAGCACTCCAATGGTCTCCAGTACCTGCAGCCAGGTCCCTGAACCACAGCAGTACAGTGAGTGAAGCAGCCAGTCCTGATCTTTGGTAGTCTCCCATCCTAAAAGCTTAGAGCCTGATTGGTCAAGGAACCCTGTGACATCTCTGTTCATGCCTCATTGAAGCTGTGTGGGCCAAATTATCTACAAGGAACCCCCCAGCTAAGACAGACATAGTATGGCTGCACCCTCTTCTCCTTGACGTGAGCAGTGAAGGACTCAGGTTTCCCCATCCCCATTCTTCCGGGAACTCTTCAGCGGGTTGTTTATCTCTTGGACCCCACCCAAGTGAGGATTCCTAAACCTGGGCCCTAGCCTGGGGTTCTTCCTAATGTTTCTCCAACATCTAGCAGCTAAACCCTCTGTTTCCCTGACACCTGTCATCCTCACTAGGGAAAGTCAGGATGACTGAGGGCTTGTGCCTTCTGCTCCCTCCCATGTGATCAGACTCCGGCTCTAACGTTTGGAGAGTCCCCTTAGAGGTTGCAAGACCTTCAGCCACACGCTGGAGGCTCAGGAGAGGACCTTGTCAGGTGTACTCATTCTAGCCTGCCTTTTTCTAGGGACTGAGACCATGAGACATGTCTCCATATCTGGAACATCTAGGAACTGTCTCTGGAACAAGAGGGAAGGGCCCCAGCCATTACAAGTTGCTTCAAGGTGGCCTGGCATGGACAGGTGAAAAACCTAGGGTTGGAGGTTGCTCTTCCCAGTGCCCTGGCTTCTTTCCTCCCCTGTACAATTTGTGTGCCCTCTGACCTATGTCCTTAGCCTTTCGAGGAACCAGGCGCCGCTGTAGTCTGACCATCTTGATGGCGTCCAGGCGGATCTCCACAAGGTTGCTGAAGAGTGCCAAAAGCGGTGCCAGGGGGAAGGCAGCCACAAAGATGGTGGTGAAGCCGTACTGGATCACTGCGGGGTGGAAATGTCACCCTGGGTCCAGGACAGCCACCCACTTTTCACCCCGCGTACCCACCCCATCTGCTCAGCCCACTGGAGCTTCACACACTCATCTCCATGAATTCGTCAAACAGGCTGAAGGTGTTGACTGGATTCATGCGGTAGTTATGCTGCCACTCCTCCAGATCTGGGTCCCTGGACTCACGACCATGTTCATGAGCCCGCATTAAGCGGCATTTCAGGGCCAACCACCTGTGGGCACCAAGAATGTGTGGAACATACAGGAAGACTGCAGGGCAAGGGAACGGCACTGTGGGCACTGGGGTGGGGTAGGAAGAGGTCCTCACGGGCGCAGATACTCGATGCAGTTGCTCAGGGTTTGCTTGAGTCCCATGATGATGGCCATCTGGATGAACAGGTCCGTCATGCAGCCACTGAGATGGCACTGTGGGGCCAGTGTGAAGGTCAGGGATGGAGCTCCAGGGAGGAGAGGGGCTCAAGAACTAGGCAGTGGGGTCTTAGGACAGACTGACCTCCTCTAGCTTCCACAGCCCAGCCAGGCGCGTGGACTTCCCAGGGTGACCATTGATCCTAGGGAGAAAATCAAGGCCTGTGAGGAAGTTGAATAGCACCCTGACGCCTGGGACCATGGGAAGGTGGAGGAACTGTGGTGGTTTGAATGAGAACGCCCTCCCCCTACAGGCTCATATATTTGAATACTTCATCCTCAGGATATGAGATGGTTTGGGAAGGATTAGGAGGTATGGCTTTGTTGGAAGAAGTAAGTCACTGGGGTTGGGCTTTGAAGTTTCAAAAGACTCATGCAGGGGAGGGGGAAAACAATCAAAATATATTATATGAAAAAGTTGTTTTGTTTTGTTTTGTTTTCCGGCCCAGCGGTGGTGGCACACGCCTTTAATCCCAGCACTTGGGAGCTAGGGGCAGGCGAATCTCTGTGAGTTCGAGGCCAGCCTGGTCTACAGAAGGAGTTCCTGGACAGCCAGGGCAACACAGAGAAACCCTGTCTCAAAAAGCCAATAAATAAATAAAAACAATTTTTTTCAATTAAAAAGACGAAATGAAGCCGGGCGGTGGTGGCGCACGCCTTTAATCCCAGCACTCGGGAGGCAGAGCCAGGCGGATCTCTGTGAGTTCGAGGCCAGCCTGGGCTACCAAGTGAGTTCCAGGAAAGGCACAAAGCTACACAGAGAAACCCTGTCTCGAAAAAACAAAAAAAAAAAAAAAAGACGAAATGAAACACGTTATTCCCAGTACACTCTCTCTGCCTCAAGGCTATAGATCAAGATGTCAGCTTTCAACTGTTCCTTCACTTCACCATCGCAGATTCCAACCCTCTGAAACTAAGCCAGATTAAGCACTTTCTTTTATTAATTGTCTTGGTTATAGTGTTTTATCACAGTAAAAGAAAAGTAACTAAGACAGGAGATGGTACCAGGGAGTGGGCTGTTGCGGAAAGATCTGACTATGTTGTTTTTGGAGAAATGTGGAAGACTTTGGGACTTTGGACTAGATAAATGGCCGAATGCTGTAGGCAGAGCTTAATGGGCCTTCCTAGAAGCTTAGAAGACAGTGCTGAGAGCCATGTGAACTATGGAGGCCTCACAAAAGAATAACATGAGCAACTTGGCTAGAGACAATTCTTGAGATATTTGGGCAGGGTGGTGGGGTGGGGTGAGGTAGTGGTGAGGGTGGCTGCCTTCTACCCTAGGTTTAAGAATTTGCCTGAGGCTAAATTGGAAAGTATTGAACTAATTTCCTTGGTGGAAGAGATTTCAAGACAGCCTAATATTGATTCTGTCGTGTGGTTATTAGTAATCACTCTTATGCAGGTCTACAATGAAAAAGAGAAAGCAGACGAAAGAGAAATACAAAATATTCAGTTTAAAGAAAAAAAGAGTACCAGGAAATTTAATGTTGGAGTCTATACTGTTCTGAAAGAGATAAGGGGATTCAAAAAGGCCTGATCTGAAATGGGATAAAGGAAGGGGGCACTCAGAGCAAGACCACACCCAGCTAAGCTTCCAGCTTGTGGAAAGAAAAGGCCCAAAGAAATTTCTGCTTTTAAAAAGCAACAATCAGCCAGGCACTGACGGCACATGCCTTTAATCCCAGCACTCCGGAGGCAGAGGCAGGTGGATTCTGAATTCAAGACCAGCCTAGTCTACAGAGCAGGGGGGAAAAAAAAGATAAAGAAAGGAAGAAAACCAAACTACTGGGATATAGGGCTTGAGAAAATATCAGTAGTAGCTAGGGTTAATGGCAGAGGCCTGTAATCCTAGCACTCAGCACACTGAAGCTAGAAGATTAAAGATGGTGAAACCTTGTTGAGAGAGAGAGAGAGAGAGAGAGAGAGAGAGAGAGAGAGAGAGAGAGAGAGAGGAAATAATGAGAATAAAATGAAATTCACAAGAAATCTGCAGGACCTATGTGAAGACAACTACATCCTGCTAGAGTCCGATATGAAGACAGCTATACTCTGCTAAAGAGCATAAAGACTTGAATAGAAAAGAAAAACTGTTCTTTACTGAGAGGGCTTGGGCTTGACCTGGTACAGCAGGATGACAGGGACAAAACGCTGGGAATGATCTCCAAGGACAGGGCAGGTTAAGGGACTCCCATGTCTTTGAACACACTAAGAGATTTAGTGGATGTGGTGGTGGGGGGGGTTGGTCAGAAGCTTGTGATTATTGGTAATATTTAAATGCCTTATAAAATTTAAGCACGTTTACAAAGCAGCAATTATTTTCATCAGAGAAAACAGAAAGGCAAACATTGACTTCACCAAAAGTGGTTCATTCAAACCAGGAAGGTGAGGCGATATTCATTTGGCTTCTTCATGAAGCACAGCACCCCACAAAAGGTGTGCAGAATATGGGACACTTGGCAGAGACACCTGGATGTTTCCATGCAAAAAGTAAGTCTGGTTGCTGACATGGCAAAACCGCCTAGCCAGTGGGTGTCTGTGTGCAGATAGATACACATGTACAAACAAGAAGACCCACCAGACTGAGCTGGGTCACCTCTGGGGCCTAGGGTCACGAAAGGTGTTGCTCTATATTGAGTTTCTAAGTATTCTGGGCATGGACTATTTTTTAAGCTAGAAGAACAGATCTGATCAGGCAGTGGTGGTGCATGTCTTTAGTTCCAGCACTCAGGGAGGCAGAGGCAGGTGTATCTCTCTGAGTTCAAGGCCAGCTTGGTCTAGAGAGTCAGTTCGAGGACAGCCAGAGCACACAGAGAAACCCTGTCTCAAAAAAAAAATGAAAAGAAGAAGAAGAAGAAGAGGAGGAGGAGGAGGAGGAGGAGGAGGAGGAGGAGGAGGAGGAGATCTGACTGTTGGTTACGCTGTGGCCGGCGGCGGAGGAGAGTGTTGGTTGGAAGAATCACAGCCATGGTTACCTTTTTAGAGCTTTATTGAGAGAGAGGGGGAGAGAGGGAGAAAGGAACAGAGGGAGGGAGAGAGAGAGAGAGAGAGAGAGAGAGAGAGAGAGAGAGAGAGAGAGAGAGAGAGAAGAGAAGAGAAGAAGGGGGTCCAGACGGAAGGAAGGAAGGAGCGGAAAGGAAAGAGAGAGACGCACAGAGGGCCCATCCGCTTTTTAGGCTGGGATGCTGTCGTAAGCTGATGACGTAACTAAGGACAGAATCCTTACACTGACCACTTTTTTTTTTTTTTAAATATGAAACACTTCACAAATTTGAATGTTATCGTTGTGTAGGGGCCATGCTAATCTTCTCTGCATTTTTCCAATTTTGGCTGCCGAAATGAGCACTTTTTTTTTTTTTAATTCAGGGTCTTATGTAGCCCATGCTGACTGAAAACTCACTCTCCTGCCTCCTTGAGTCCTAAAATTACAGGAGTATGCCACCACATCCAGCTTATGTGGTGCTAGAGGTCAAAGGTAGGGCTTCATTCATGCTGCACAGGCACTCCAACTGAGCACATCCCCAGCCTCAAGATCTGGCCACTTTTATTTTTCATATTTATTTATTTACTTAGTTTTTTGAGACAGACTCTCTCTACTTAGCCTTGGCTGTCCTGGAGCTTGATATGTAGACCAGGCTGGCCTCAAACTCACAGAGTTCTAACTGCTTCTGCCCCCCACTTCCCCCACTCCCCTCCCTACCCCACCTTACCCCCACACACACACCAGTGTTGGGATTAAAGGTGTGTGATTAAGATCTGGCCACTTTTAAAAGCAAGAAAGAGCCAGGAGGACTGAGGCTGAAGGAGCTGGGGGCTGGGGTGGAAGGCAGGCATATGGGACGGGGGTGGAGGGCAGGCATATGGGACTGGGGAGGGGGGTAGGTGGGGGCTTACCTGCCCAGGATGAAGGCAATGTAGATGAGAGAGGAGAAGTGGGCGAAAAACTGCAGAGTGAAAAACTTGACGGTGAACTTGCTCTCTCGCTCTGAAAAGGTCCTGGGATCCTCTGGAATGAGACATGGCCATCCTGTCTTTCCCTAGACCAACAGGACAGCATGACCTACACCTCCCAAGTGAGAGTCCCAGAAGAGCAGGAAGCCCCCACCCCATGTCTGATCACAGCTCCACGACTCTCAGCCCTGAGTCCTCCCCAGCTCCCAGAGAGAGGCTGGCCTCTGCTCACCAAAGTTACAAAGCTTCTGGGCTACCCATTTGTTGACCTGAGGGAAGAAGGAACCAAGTGGGATTTACCTAGAACTTCAGTCGAGCCCCCCAGGGCCTCCCCTGCCTGACCTCTACCTTAGTCATGATGACTATGATTACGTAGTGTACCACGGCCCCGGTCACCACCACGACAGTGGTCACCTGCTGCTCCAGGAAGCTGCTGAAGAGAGCAGCGGCCAGCACACGGTAGACAACCAGCACATGGGCCATGCCAATCATGAAACAGATCTGCAAAGGGTTGGGGGTGGCCATGAAGGGTAGGCACAGCTGGGTCTCCAGCCCTTGCCACAGTTCCCAGCAGTACCATGAACACGGACAGGATCAGAATGATAGTGCTGTTCAGGTAGGAATGATGATGTGTTCTCAGCTTGTAGTCCGGATAGTTAATGAGCTCAAGGGCCATCTCTTCCTAGGAAGAGGTCACCAGACACACCTCAGACACAAGGTGCGGGCCACACGGGCCACTGGAAACAAGCAACCTTGTTGCCGCTGGTCCCGTCTTACCTCTTCCTCATCCCATCCGTACAAGTCCCAGTGCAGGACCACGCGGGCACGCTGCCGCTTCCAGATCTCCAGAAACACCGTGGCTGCAATGAGCATTGGGAGCTGTCACAGCACCCCTGGGGTGAGCCAGGGTGGCTGAAAAGCTAAGGTTGGCTGTCCCCAGGGCCCTCCAGGAATGCCCAGCAGCAACTCACCCCACAGAGCCATGAAGATGGCAAACATCACAGTACCCTCGTTGTCGAAGAGATGAGTGAGCTGAGGAGAGGAGCAGAAGGGCTCATGCTGGACCTCCTACCCATGTCCCCTAGCGGGGAAGGAAGAGCCCGGCCCATCAGGGCATCCAAGTGCCTTGTCTTCCCCACTTCCAGACGGCCATACTGTGCCAACCCTTTCATAAGCCCTGGAAAGACTCCAGTAGGCATCAAACCTTCGCAAAAGTGCACATTTCTGAGAGCGGCTGGTATCTGCGACTGTGGTCGCCAAGGGGGCACATGAAGATGTCCTTGGCCGCACAGATTTCTTTGCTGCCAGTATAGAGACAAGAGCAGTGATTCTCAGGTGCGGGCTCCCACCCAGGCTCCCACCTCCATTCCTGGCCCACAAGGAGACTGCAGGCCCCAAGCCCTGACCCACCTGATCTGGCTGGAATCAAACAGGGCAAAGCCGCTCAGGAAGATGATGAGGCCCACCAAAGCAGCAGGCACGAGCATGTAGGTGTACCAGCCAAGCCAGGCGAAATACAGAGCCACCTTCTCGCCAAAGTAGTTCCTGTGGGAAAGCTTCCCCATCAAGGCCACCCTCCCCAGTGGCCTCAGTACTAGTAGGGTATGGGCATTATGAGGAGAGGGTAGGAGGGGGAGGGTACTGCTAGCATCAGTGTGAGTGGGGACTGTATGTGTCACTTAGGACTGGATGTCCTGGTGATTTGAGCACAGATGTGTCTATGGCCCACAGGTGAGCTGCTTGGTGTGGTATTACCTAATATCATCAATCGGCTGTTTCCGGAACATGTTTCTCCATCGGGCCCATTTTTTCTTCAAGTCTTTTTCTCCCTGTGTCACGGGAGACAAATGAGAGCTTGGCTTCCTACCTCAGGTTCCCACCCTTAGGCCCATTCTGAACTTGTCACCCCTCACCTCGTGCAGAGGAAACATGGTCTCAAAAACCCCATCCTTCACCAGGTCCTCGAAGGTCTCTAGGGGTTACAGGGAGCCTCAGTCAGAGAGCAATGGAAGGTAGGAGAATCCAGCCCACAGCAGCACCCTCCTAGGCCACCTGTCCATCTGTGCTCACCACCAGGTTTCATCTTGTTGTTCACGACAAAGCTCACAATTCGGATTCTGAAACCCAAGAATCTAAGGATCAGAATGGCCCCCACGATGGCCTAGTGGACCTTGCCTGTTAAAGCCCTGTTCTCCACACACCCGGCCCTCTCTGTTCTAGAAAAGACATCCCACCAATACTGACCAGAACCCAGAGTCCATAAATCACCCTGAAAGCCTGCCCGGGTCAGGTTTGCCGGGCCTCCAGGATGGCGTCCTGTCCTTACTCTCAGGTTTCCACAGCTCTCCCAGGTTCGGGGTCAAGAGCCCCCATCTCTGACCACACTTGCCTGCACATGCTGAGTGTTAATGTGCACAAATCCTCTTACTTGGTTATGAATCATTCTGCTTATGTGGAAACTGAGGTTCGGAGGCTAGGGTACCTTGCCCAAGGCCACACAGGCATTTGTTCAGATGTTAGGGTACCTTGCCCAAGGCCACACAGGCATTTGTTCAGATGTTAGGGTACCTTGCCCAAGGCCACACAGGCATTTGTTCAGATGTTAGGGTACCTTGCCCAAGGCCACACAGGCATTTGTAGAGCCATATTCAGACACATTTTAAGTGTCTGAGACACAGTCACCGTATGAACACATGGAAATCGCCCCGGCCGCCCCTGTGACTCTTTCTTTGTCCCCGCCAAGGTGTCTCTACTCTTCTGATGTCCCCTCAGTCCTCCCCAGTACCAAAAAACTCTGTGTTCACAGGACTCTGTTGCCTGGTACCTATTCTCTGACTGCCCTTTGCCAGGGTCAACTAGCCAGGCCCCAGATAGCTCTGGCTGGACGTGGGTGGGTGACACAGAAGGACCAGGAAGGGGTCCGTGAGTGTTCCTGGAGGAGCAGGTGACTGGGGACACAGGAGGCTGTCCCTGTCAGATAGCTAGGACCAGCTGTCCAGAGAGGATCTTGAGCTGATGAGGAAGGGATCTATGGGAGATAAAGACCTCAGAATCCAGAAGGGGTGTCTGCTCATTTCACTGCTGACTTTGATCCAAGGAAAACCATGACAAGGAGTTCTCACAGGATGTCAAGAAGTGAGCTGTTGTTGTGGAATATCATTTTAACTGGGCAAAAAGATGTGTTAATTCGTTTATGCTGCACAATATTACTTTAACCGTGTAAAGGTGTGTTACATGTGTTTAGGCTGCATTTGTTTAACGATGTAAGGAAGTGTGTTTAATGATGTAAAGATGTGTTGCTGTTTCACCTTGCCCGCCTAAGGCACCCGATCGGTCTAATAAAGAGCTGAACAGCCAACAGCTAGACAGAGAAAGGAATGGGTGGGGCTGCTGGGCAAAGAGAATAAATAGGAGGAGAAATCTAGGTGCGGGGGGGGGGGGGGGGGGACAAGAGGAAGAAGAGAGGAGAGAACAAGGGAGACACCCAGGGCCAGAAGCCAGGCGGCCTCCAGCCGGCCAGCCAGCCAGGAGAAGCAGTGAAAGTAAAATATACAGAAGGGATGAAAGGTAAAAAGCCCCTGGGCGGTGGTGGTGCATGCCTTTAATCCCAGCACTGGGGAGGCAGAGCCAGGTGGATCTCTGTGAGTTCGAGGCCAGCCTGGTCTCCAAAGCGAGTTTCAGGAAAGGCGCAAAGCTACACAGAGAAACCCTGTCTCGAAAAACCAAAAAAAAAAAAAAAAAAAAAAAAAAAAAAGAAAGAAAGAAAGATAAAAAAGCCATGAGGCAAAGGATAGATAAAAAAAAACAGGTTAATTTAAGTTAAAAGACCAAGGCAGAAACGAGCCTGAGCTAGACCGAGCATTCAAAACTAATGATAAGTTTCCATGTCATGATCAGAAGCTGGTTGGTGGCCTAAAAGAAAAAGCCTAGTACAAGCTGTCATTATTACTATCACAAAATGAGAACTGGGGCACAGAGCCTTGCTCAAAGAGTGGGGTCTGATCCCCTGTGACATCCACAATAAGACTGTATAGAGCTGTATTGTCCTACCTCAGGTGGAATGTGGCCCTTGTTTTGCCTGGACAAGAGCAAGGGTTCTCTTGCTCTGGACTCTGGATACATCCTCACCTTGTGGTAGCTGGGATGCAGTTCATATTGTTAAGTTTGGCTCTGGGGCCAGGATCTTCAGGCTTCATGAGAAGAGTCCGGTACAGGTCAAAGATCCCACTGTCAGCTCGGATCCCAAAGAACACCTTCTTCCGGTCTTTTATCACCTTGGGAGTCACAGGGGAACCAACTCATCCACAGGCACTATCCTGTCCCCTGTTCCTGGGGCATGTGACAAGGCATGCCCCATGACTCTCTGGCCCATGATTTGGCCCCTGATGCAAACTAGCCCACCTTGAACTGAAAGCCTTTGCTCTCGAGCTTCTCCAGGAACTGCTGTTGCCTATGAACCTGCTTCTGGATTTTCTGGGTCTGGAGATCAGCCACCAGGACACAGTCCCACCGATGAGAGGCCTCAAGCTGGAGGAAGAAGACGCAGGGTAGAAACAGAACACTGGATACAGATAGGAGGAAATGTAGACATGGACACAGGATGGGAAAAGGTGTGGGGCAGGAACCCAGCATAGGACATGGCTATGGGAGGAGGTGTAGGACCATAACCAAGCACAGGATACACAGTAGGCAAGGGGTTGGTGGGATCAAGCCTGGGAGGTCTGATCAGACTCACCTTACAAGTACCCATTTCCATCAGGGGCAAGTTGTCCCCATCTGACCCCACCAAGATCTGGAGGCTCTCATCACCCTGGGGAACAGAGAAAAATGGGGAGATGAGCATGTAAGCCCCTCACAAGCCTCCTCTTCCATGCTCTAAGCAGGCACACAGGCACACAAAGAAGCAAGACTCCCCACTCTGCGCCAAACTAGTTGGGAAATAGGTAATTCCTGGTGGAGGAGAGGCTGAGGATGTCACAAGGTAAGGTAGCAGAAGGTGACAACAGAGCCAGCATGGTCTGTGTGGAAACACCAAGAGGCTCCATCAGGGCTTTCCTTTTTTTTTTTTTTTTTTTTTTTTTTTTTGGTTTTTCGAGACAGGGTTCCTCTGTGTAGTTTTTGTGCCTGTCCTGGATCTCGCTCTGTAGACCAGGCTGGCCTCAAACTCACAGAGATCCACCTGGCTCTGCCTCCCCAGTGCTGGGATTAAAGGCGTGCGCCACCACCGCCCAGCTCCTTCAGGGCTTTAAGGAAAGTCAGACAGCCCCATTCCTCCATGGCAGGCAGACAGTGGCTCACAGGGATGTCACTGAAAGGAATCCCAGTGAGCACCTGATGGGTGAAGAAATGGCAACCTCAGGAGAATCAGGGAGGGGCAGTCAGAGGGCTAGAAGACCCCGGCTGCACACATTTTAAGAGTCTGAAGATGCCAAAGTCACTTGTGTACTGGTGGTGGTTCACACAAACTTGGGGAACATTTTGCACTGGGTTCTTAATTAGGCAGTACTAGGGCCTGTGGCCTGGCCACCCTTGAGGACTCCGACAAGAACTTCAAGGCAGGCATATTCCCCATCGCTGAGAACCACTAGTGGAATCTGGAGGACTTGAGTTTTTTCTGACTTGTTCACTACTGGACCACAGTGAGGATCCCAGATCTTCTGGGAGATGGGCTTACATTTCTCCCCACTCTGGGCTAGGTTCAGTGCCTAGAGAAAGCTGCGAGCACGGGAAACACTGTGGGTACCAGTATTACCCCAATCCACATGAGGACGGCTGTGGCTGCCCCTTGTATCCCTGGGAGTCAGGAATGCACAGCAGGAGGTGGAGGTGAGTGATGGTCCTGCTGCCTGAAGCCTATCAGCCATCCCGCCCTAAGTCCTCAGAGAAGTTCAGAGGGGTCATGTGAAGAGTGTCCGTCCAGGAGTCATGTCACCAAGACAAGGGCAAGATGTGTCTTAAGGGGAAGCTAAGAAGATGGTGACTAAAAGCTACACTGAATCCTGAGTGACAAGAATAGGTGAATAGTGACAAGAAGAGATACAAGGGTGTGTGGCTGCAAGTGCTGGGCAGCACAGGTGTGTCCTGAGACTTAGTCAGGGGAAGCTAATGGAGGGCTGGGGGACACCAGAATGACCTTCTAGTTCTATTACTAACCGAAATCTCAAACAAGCTTGTTTTTAAGAAAACAAACCTTAGGAATCTGCATCTAGCATGATATCCTTTTTTTTTTTTTTTTTTTTCTGAGACAGGGTTTCTCTGTGTAGCTTTGCGCCTCTCCTGGAACTCACTTGGTAGCCCAGGCTGGCCTCGAGCTCACAGAGATCCGCCTGGCTCTGCCTCCCGAGTGCTGGGATTAAAGGCGTGCGCCGCCGCCGCCGCCGCCGCCGCCGCCGCCGCCGCCGCCGCCGCCACCACCACCACCACCACCACCACCCGGCTGATATCCTTTTTTAAAAACGTGCATAGAATAGGTATTTTGCCTGCATTTTCCCGACTAAGTCTGTATACCACTTGTCTGCCTGGTGCCTATGGAAACCAGAAGAGGGCATCAGATCTGCTGGAATTGGGGAGGTAACACAGAAGGACCAGAGGAGTTACAGATTTTAATGAGCCACCATGTGGGTGTCTGAAATTGAACCAGGGTCCTCAGGAAGAGCAGCCAGTGCTCTTAATCACCAAGTCATTTCTCTAGTCCCTAGCATGATACACTTTTTTATAAAATGAAAGAAAATAGCATTAAAGCTCTGCTTTTTAACTTTTTATTTATTTTGTGTGTGTGGGTGTTCGGCCTGCATGTATGTCTGTGCACTGTGTTTGACCCTTGTGCCCACAGAAGCCAAAAGAGGTGTCAGGTCCCCTGGAACTGGAGTTACTGTGTGGGTGCTGGGAATCAAACTCGGGTCCTCTGGAAGAGTAGCCAGTGCTCTTCACCACTGATCCATCTCTCTACTCTAACCTGCTTTTTCTCCTTCCTTCCTTCCTTCCTTCCTTCCTTCCTTCCTTCCTTCCTTCCTTCCTTCCTTCCTTTCTTTCTTTCTTTCTTTCTTTCTTTCTTTCTTTCCAGACAGGGTTTCACTTTGTATCCCTGGCTAGCCTGGAACTCACTATGTAGACCAGGCTGTCCTCAAATTCAGAGACCCATCTGCCTCTGCCTACACAGTTCTGAGATTAAAAGTGCATACCACTACACCTGACCCCATTTTGTTTTGTACATTTTTTTAAATATCTTTATTATTGTACAAATGTTTTTCTTTCATGCATGTGTGTTTGCCATGTGTGTGCCTGGTCCCAGTGGAGGTAAAAAGAGGGTATCAAATCTTCTGGAACAGGAATTACAGGCGGTTGTGGGCCACTGTATGAGTGCTGAGAATTAAACCCATGTCCTCTGCAATTTTGTTTTAGTTTCTGAAACAGAGTTTCATACAGCCCAGATTGATTTAACTTCACTATGTAGCCCAAATGACCTTGAACTGCTAATCCTCATGCCTCTATGTCCCCAGCCCTGGAATTGCTGGCAGACACTACCAAGCCTTATTTGTGTGGTACTAAGGATTGAACCCAGGGTTTCATGTGTGCTATGCGGGCTTTCTACTGATTGAGCTGCATACCCAATCCAGTATGTTTATTTTTGAGTTTTTGACCCAGGCCGTGTATCCCAGGCCTCAAATTGGCTAGGAGGGAGGATGACCTTGAATTTTTAATCATCCTGCCTCTACCTTCTGAGTGCTGGGATTACAGACACTGAGTTTTTGTTGGTTTGTTTTTCTTAAATAGGGTTTTAATATGAATCCCAGGCTGCTCTCAAGTTTTTCATCTTCCTGCCTCAGCCTCACAAGTAAAGTGGTACATTTTTAGGAATATTCACAGTTGGATAAAACTATACCTCCATCTGGGTGGTGGTAGCGCACACCTTTGATCTCAGCACACGAGAGGCAGAGGCAGGTGGATCTCTGTGAGTTCGAGGCCAACCTGGTCTACAGAGTGAATTCCAGGACAGCCAGGGCTACACAGAAAAATCCTATCTCCAAAAAAAAATAAAACAAACAAACAAAAAACTACACTACCAAGGGAGGGGGCAGAGTCAGGGCAGTGGGTGCTGTGGTCTCTGTCTCCATGGGTGCTGGGTCCCGGGTTTCTCGAGACTTCATTTACTCTCAACAAACAAGGTGCCCGAGGACTGAAGGTAAGTGGCAGTCAGGGTTTCTTTCTGCAGGGTGTGGGCTATCGGAAGCAGGGAGAAAGATCTGGGGAGGTGGGGGCTGCCGGGCAAGTTGGAGCAAGTTGTGCTTTCCCAAACCTGATGGGGTAAAGGCCGAGGGAGGGGTTGAATGGGCAGATGCGCTGGCTAAGGAGACAGCATTTGGCAGATGCTGAGGATGCCAGTTTTGTAATGTATTATGTGTAATGCATGCTCTGTGCACATGGGTGACACAGAGCATGGGTGTCCACGTCCCTAAGAGCAACACACAGGGGTTGATGGAGGGACTTAAGAGGAACTCCAGAGTGACAAGGACCTGTGGCTCCAATGTCCCAGAAGCAGGTACACTTAGGTACCCTCTAGGCACCTGAGCCAAATGAAGCTGTTTCTCTGGCTGTCCAGCAGGTTGGGAGGCTCTTCTCATATCCCATGGCCCAGATCCCAAATCTTGCTTATCCTGTTACCAATTCCAAATGCCCATCCTCAGTGGCCCCTGCCTCTATCCCCACACTACATCTTACCATCCCTGAAGTCACTCCAATGCCAGGTCTGGCTCCTGCTTCCCCTGCCCAAACACATTCCTCCCACCTCCTCCAGAGAGTCTCACCATACTGCTCCAACAGGCCAGCTCAAGAGCTGCCAGGTAAAATACAGGCCACCCAGTCATGTAGGAATTTCAGATAGCCAAACAGGCTTTGGGATGGGCATGGTGGCACAAGCCAGCAATTTGGAGGGTTGTGGTGAGTTTGTGGCCAGCCTGATCTACATAGCAAGGCCTTGTCCCAAAGCAAAACAAAATGAAGGGGTTTTGTTTGTTTGTAAGTATAAGTATATCCCAATGTTGCCTGGGTATACTTATACTGAGGGGGGAAAAGTTGTTTATCTGAAATTCTGAAATTTAACCTAAGGTTCTTTGTTTTATTTGTTTGTTTTGCTGCTGAATCCACCCCCTGCTATATCCCCGTGAGTGCACGGACACACACTCACACATACCCAAGGAGCTTCTAGTTGAGGATGGGCTGGTCTTGCCCCTGCCCGAATCTCCGTCGAGCTGCTGGAGGGAGTACAGGCCTCAGACCTTCATCTCCCTGTCTGGTGTACATCCTGTGTGCTATACTTCCCTGCTCCCCTGGGCTCCCTGCTCTGACAGCATTCCCCAGACTCTTGGGCTTTCCTGGGCTTCCCATCCTCTGCCCACAGACACCTGCACCCGGTATTGTGGGCAGTGACGGAAACTTCTCCAGGAGAGAAACCCTACACCTAGAGCTGTAAGACAGAGTGAGCACCAATGTCTCAACTTGGGAAGAAGGTGACATCTCAACCACAGGATAGCTAGCCAGGGGACCCTTATGTCCCCGGCACCCAGCCTAGTAATCCACCCACCATGAAAGTTCAGCAAGTGTCACGTGAGATGAATTGGTGAGTGAAATGTGTTTGACTTCGGACCTGAGCAGACGTCCTCTCATGCCTTCCCTTCCCATAAGCCACAATCAATCAGTGTGGGACCAAAGCGTTAAAACGTGTGGAACAAATTAGAATGGAGATAAGACCTAGGAGAGAACCAGGAACCTGTAGGACTTTGGAATCCAAACTGAGAGGGATCCTAGGAAGAG